TTAATCAGAACTGACTTTAACAAGCACTGTGGCAATTGGACAATTAAAACAGACATTCGGATGGCGGGGAAGAAGAACAAACTGGGGAGGAGGGTGGAGAGAATGGTGCGGCAATGAAGGAGTGAAAGCCCAGAATGCCTGTGAATGTTCATTGAAACTAATAAAATTTAATAAGAATTTAAAAAAAAAATTAGAAAGGGATTTACAAGAGACTCTAATGAATAACTAGGAAGACTACAAAATGAATCAAATAAAAATAGAAATTAAAATCATTATTAATGTTTTGAATAGCAGATGAGACCCCACTGAAAAACAAATTAATGAACCGGAAGACGGAACTGATGAAATAACTCAAGATGTGACACAGAGTGGAAAGAGAGGGTATATACCAATCAGTAACTGTGTGTTTACAACGCAGAAAAGATGGTCTCCTCAAAAATGTGAAGATGTAAGAACATCTAATTCCCTACTTTCTGACTCTAACAACTGGCTAAATTATTTAATTATGCAGCATTGTTAAAGGCCTCTGGCTTTACATTTCCAATGTCCATCATTCCCTTATTCTCTGTCCAGTCCCGACTAACATTCTGTTCCGCACAACATCCATGCTGCCTACTGCCCACCTGGGCCACGTCCCACAACCTGTACATGAAATACTTATTAGTCTCCCCTGTCTATTGGGCCTTGTAAATTCCCAGTACACTTGTATACTACGTATCATTAAATGATCATGCATTGATCTAATAATTAAAAAAACGAACCTATTAAATGGTATGTAATATTTTAATCAGAGATACTGCATTTTTCGCGAGCTGGCTGGGAGCTGATTTTCTCCATTTGCCCTTTTCCTCATGGACTTTATTTTTTTTTTTAAATATTTCTTTGTTCTAGCATAGAAACAATTTTACTAATCTCTAATTATGTATCAGGCATACATATCTTTCTCCCTATTAATAAAAAATGAACAAATGCAATTATGATATTCTTTTTATTGAAAAACAATATAAAATAGCTCCAAAAATAAGTAGATTTTACATTATTACTTTGCTTATAAATGTTTTTATGCTTTTTGCAGGAATTTACTTCCTGTAACAATTTTTGCAATTCTAGATTTCTACATTATTACCTATCAGTATTTAACAGACAAGAGTTTAACTGCTGATCCAAGAACAATAGCATTACACTTACTTTTTAGACCTTTTCCCCCGCCAAACATGCTTATCAACACGCAGGCCGGAAACGCGAGCCTGTTCTCTTCCAGTCCGCCAGGAGTTCCTTTTGTACTTCTTCTGGGAGCTCATAGAAAACCTCAGGGTCAATATCAGAAGGAAAAGCCATTTTCTCCTTTGTGAAACTCTGCTGTCTGTTTTCTCTCAATCCTTCATGAGAGACTGTTGCTTTGGGTTCCTTATGGTTATCTGCAATGTAGTTTCTGGAAGGAATTTGCTCATTTCGCAAATTTGGAAATGAATGCAAAATAGATCCAGCAGGGTGGGTATCAGACAAGAGAACTCTTTGAGGCTCTTTAGTTCCCTGACTCGTTAGTTCATGTTCATGATGCTTCTGGGTAGACATGGAAGAGGAACGACAGTTAGGTGAGCCTGATGTTCCTGGTTCAGAGGGAGAGTCAGACGATACTTGTTTGCTATTGGATAAATGATCTCTAGGATTTGAAAGAGTATCGTGCTTTTGTTTGGCAGAAAAGAAAGATAATATTCCTCTAGAAGCACGTAATGGACATCTCACACTTTCTTTGCCTTGCAGTTTTTGTTTAGATTTTCCGGAAAGGATTTCTTCTTGTATATCTACTGGAAGTTGCTTAAAAACTTCTTGGTCAACACCGGCAGGAAGCGAGTGGACTGCAAATTCATTAATATCTTTTTCCTTAGACAAATCGGTAGCATCTAGTGGTGACTCCCCAGTTCCTGGACTTTCAGTTCTTCCACTTGGTAGAAAATCCCAGTTTGTTCCTTTGTCTTTTGAAAAATCTTCCACATGAGTGTCTTTCATTTTCTAGAACACAAGGACAAAAGTAATTTAGACATTTGATGTTCTTTAAGTATCCATACTCCTGAAATGTGATTGTAACTATTATCTGACAACAAATGTCTAGTGTACTCAACTTCAACTTTGGCCAAACAATTAAAAATGACCAGGTAACATGCACAATTATGGATTCAAACTTCTAATTCTGTGAATGAAGAAAGATAGCTGAGAAGAAGTAAATGACTGGCTTAAAGGCATTTTAAAAAAATGCATGCACAGCACATTAAGCACTGGTTGAACAGAAAGAACAGTAGTTTAACAAAGAAAAAGACTTCTATGGTAAAAATCCAATGTCATTACTAAGATATAATACTAGTTTGTAAGATCTAAAATGAATTTTTTTTAAAAAATCAATTCTAATTATATAGACTTCTTATGTGAAAGTTTTCACCAAGTTTTCCATTCTAGTTTTAAGCAACATAATGTAGGCACAGATAAATATAACTTAATACACATCAAAACAATTGTTACTTTTCTGAAACATGAGAGAAAAGATTAAGGCTATAATACTTACGTCAGACATAACTTCACTTATATTTAGCCTGCAAATCTCTCTAAATTAGGGATCTTTAATTTTTCTTATGTAGCACTACTTAAAAATATCAAGTAATGTTACCTTAAAATTTTTTAGTTAATAAATGAAATGAAAAAGTCGGAGAAAAATAATTT